TGAGTTCATGGAACTAATCCCAGATTCCTTGTTTATTTACAAAACCTTGATAGTAAAACTGTTTTGACTGTGATCTCACGTTTCCTCTATATTTTACTTACACTCTAATTATAGGCTTGTTCTGTGGAGTAGAAAATTGTACTGTGTCTGTAAACTGAATCCAGGGAGTTTAAAATGATTTTCTTTTTATAACAAGTTAAAATTGCAACATGTTAAACTGCAATTTCTGTTTTTTTTTTTTTTTTTTTTTTTTTACATTAATAACACATATCAGCCCATACTTGATTGTAAATGATCGTAAAGTTATAAAGGTTTTTCTATTCTTTTGCATATAAAATCTCGCAGCGCATCATATATTAGCATCATATGTTATAACCTCTTTTCAGTACAATTAAAACTGCATGTTATTTGTACAGCTATACCAGCTCTACCTTTTAGTATCTAGAAGGATATTCTTACCTTTCTCATTTAATTGTCCAAACACAGCAAGAATACATGGAGGGGATCTGTGAATATCAATCTGCAAGTCTTGTGACAGAATCTGAATCAGTGTGAAGAAGACTAATCGCGGTGGATTTAAAAAGAAAATAGGTCCTATTGAAATGGGGCTCTAGTCCAAGTTTTATACAACAAACATGAAAATGTGAGATGTTATGACAATACAGAATTGTCATCAAATTGAAGGTTGTACTATATGCAGTTACTTGATTTTGACTTTTATTAGATGGTTAGGTAAAGTTTCCCACTGAAAGATGAACATAATCAAAAAGTTTTTGCAGCTTCTTGAAAGGTTTTCTCCCAATATTGCCCTTTAATTAGGTCCAGCCACCCCCCAACAACTCTGACCAGCTTTTATGCTAGTTTTGCCCAGAGAACACAAATCTGATTTACATGCTTTTTGTGTCAACAAGCTTGTGGCAAACCGCAAGACTTAAAACGGCTTGCTTCCCTGATTAGAAATCACTTTCCCGCCTGTCATTTCAGGTGGATGGACATATACAATAATAGATTGAACAGGGCTCTGTAAGATTGCCAAAGCTTCGGATAATATTTTTAAAACCAGACTCTGCTGAAAACATGTTTATTTTGAACGTGTCTGTTGTGTTCCTTGTTCTTCATAATGCTGTTTGGTTATTAATGTTCTCCAGCACACGTCTGAGGCCTTAATAGATCCACAACAATTTTACCCAGAATTACATTACCTATGTGGAACCAGTTTATTTGTTGTGTGACGTCTGAGTCGACGAGTTCCAGTGAAAAACCAGTAAAAATAAGAAAGAAAGAATAAGACAAAAACTAGTAAACAAAGGTTATGAAGTTAAAAGGTTAAATGACATGCACAACACTTAAGATGTTTTTTTTTTTTTGTCAAATATCATATATCCCTTTTCTTATGCTTTAAAGAATTAAAAACATTTAGTTTATCCCTCAGATGACATCCCAGGTTACACTTTGTGATCATAAACTGTGTGCGACCAGGTTTCCATATAATTTAAAAATAATTTTTCAGCATGAGGTTATTAATATTTTTTAATGTGTCCTATGCTTCTGATTGTCAATAGCTGAAAACTTTACTTTTTTTTTAAATGGTTGGACATGGAATTTAAAATTTAAAGAGATTATTATTTAGATAAAAATAAATATTAAAAAGATCTTTCTCTTTATTTCTTTCTTTCTTTCATGAACAAATAAAAAATTAATAGATAAATAAATAAAGATAATAAAACGTATGTTATGCATGTTACTTCTAATGTAAAAATCATTAGACTTGGCAAGACTAGTGCAAATATTTGGAGAGCAATATCATTAATATTAAAACACATTTCAGTCGCTTGTTATAAAACTAAATTAGACGAGTGCCAGCTCTCCTTTGCTAGTTCATTTTTTCATTCTACTTATTAGCTAATGAAGCTTTGTTTGCAAGTTTGCACATTTAAATATACATTATTAGTCATGATTTAAGGTGTTACACAAATATTTATAAAAACTTAGCTTGAAATAAGTGATCAGTGTTCTTTTAAAGTTAAGATTCCTGCTTCTCTGCAGTTTAGAGGTTATAAAACAGAGGGTGAGGTGGTTATTCGGTGGGTACATTTTTCATCAAAGCTTTTTTCTATCCCAAGTATGCATTGTAAGGAAGCAGTTTCAAAAATATAAAAGAATACAATAATAAAGAAGTAAAACACATATACAACCAATATACAACTCATGAAACAGTTTGATACTTTGAAAAAAGTAGTCGCTACTCCTGCTGTTACCCTTAGAAATGATACTCTCAACAAGCCTATGGCTTTGAATAATTCATGGAAATTCAAGCACATTAATTCAATGAAAATGCAGTTTAAACTTTCAAATGCTTGTAAGCGAGGCTGTTTGTTGAGATTCTCACAAGTCCCACAGGACAGAAGGGAGCATTCATTACAAATTATTCTTGTTTCATTTGGAACAGCTTTAACACCTCACTGGAGTTTCCAGACATGGTTTTATGCTGTCACTTTTCAAACTCATTGAAAAAGATTTGGCATTTTTTTGGATAGCTTACCTCTTTTTTATTTTTATATAATAGAAATAGAATAGAATATAAAATCCCTTAATTGACTCACAATGGGGAAATTCTGGTGTTTACAGCAACTAAAAGATTATAGAAAAAATTGTCATACAAATGTGAACCTTAGAAAAAATTCATAAGAAAAACATTTAGAAGATTATATTAGTTAATGTTATAAAGATGGTTCACCAGTTTGCAGTGAAAGAAAACTGAAAATCCCCGAGTTTGGGAACTGGGTCGTTTAACAATCCCGGTTATGTTATGGGGTCACATTGAAGCCACCAGTCTGTTCATCTGTTCACAACAACTGTGACTTTGCACCGTTATTACTCTTGGTGACAGTTTAATTTTCATGAATTGGGTGGCTGCTATGCTCTGTCCTTGTGCTAATTTCATGGTCTTTTTCTGTGTCTTCTTATTGCCCACCTGAATAGATACAGGTGACTTAATCAGATCAAATGCATCTGCATTTTGGGTTTAGTATTTCTTTAAATGTCAGAGAATTTCTCTAAAAAATGTACTGTATGCTTCCACCAGCTTTGTAAACAAGAACAAGCCGTTTTATTAATTTGCCCTGTTTTACAACAATTAGTGGAGACTTAATAAGAGGCAGAGGCAGGCTAATTAAACAATATTAAGGAAAATATTTCTTTTCTTTGCTTGTATTCCATCCAGACTGTACGGAAGAAGATTAGCGCCACTGAAAAAATAAAAAAGTTAACTGATTTTTATATGTTATTTCAGTTTAATATAAATAAAAAAGTCAGAATTCTGGCTTTAATATCAGAATTTTTGATCTTAATGTAGATGGGCAGAGATGTTGGAGCTCTCAGCTTCACTGACAAATATGTGAGTTGTTTGAGAGGGCCAGTGACACATTGGTGGAAAATGACGGAGGTGTCCCTGTTGATGCTATTTCATTAATGGAAGAGCAGAAGGTGATTAAAACAAGAGAGCTTGTTTAGTTTAGCTAACATGTTTGTTAGCTGTCGGAAAACAGTCAGAATTCTGAGATAAAAGTCAGAATTCTTAGCCTGGGTGCCAGTCCGAACTTAGTCCCGCCCACAAGGTTTGAGTTCGGGGAAGTTCGGTCTGGCTCTGCTCCATAGTAGCGCGAGTATTAAAGCCCACTGTCAGGCGATCCAATCAAATTGTCAGGGCGGGCTTTATACGATGATGGACAGATGATCAAGAGTAACGTTATCAACCACGTGACCAAAGCGCGCTTGGTTGACAACAATAATGGCTGCCGCTGGAGAGTTTGGGTGAGTAGATTCTGCTATTAGGTCTATTCTAGAAGATATCGACAGCAAATTAATTTTAAAAGAGGAACAGAGAAACGCGATCAAGTCTCATCTTCTTATTCTAGGCGTGAAACTGCACGCTTTGATTATTGTGGACAACAACTATGCCTCGCTTAAGATACGTCACGCACTCCGTTGCTCTTATTGGTTGTAGGTCTATCCAATTGAGTGCAGAGGCATTTTTTTTCCTGGTTCGTTCAAAACACGCCCCATAATCACAGCTCTATGGAGCAGTATCAGACTCATATTCTGACTAGAATTGAGTCGGACTACGTCAGGCTACAGAATTCTGTGAAAAAAGTCAGAATTCTGACTTTAATTTCAGAATTCTGACTTTTTTTCCTCAAAATTCTGACTTTAATCTCAGAATTCTGACTTAAGTCTCAGAATTTTGGATCTTAATGTAGATGGGTACGATGAAGGAAGAGATATTGGAGCTCTCAGCTTCACTGACAAATATGTGAGTTGTTTGAGAGGGCCAGTGACACATTGGTGGAAAATGATGGAGGGGTCCCTGTTGATGCTATTTCATTAATGGCAGAGCAGAAGGTGATTAAAACAAGAGAGTCAGTTTAGTTCAGCTAACGTTTTTTTAGCAGTCAGAAAACAGTCAAAATTCTGAGATTAAAGTTAGAATTCTGAGATTAAATCAGGATTCTGAGAAAAAAGTCAGAATTTTTAGATTAAAGTCGGGATTGTGAGAAAAAACAGTCAGAATTCTGAGATTAAAGTCAGAGTTCTGACTTTTTTTCTCATATTATACTGAAATAGAATTTTAAAATAAGTTAACTTTTTTAATTTTTTCAGTGGCCCTAATCTCTTCTGTATGACTGTGGAGGAAAATCCCATGCTTTGTGGTTAAGTGACAGGTGAATTGCAGTTTAGCAAACTGCCTCCAGTGGTAGTAATGTATCATAGCTCTGCTCCAGCAGCTGCAGGCACAAACGACTAATATCATATAATTGACAGCTGTCAGTGAAACACTCTTACTCTATTTATTTTATTATTTTTTCATTTTTTTTGCAGTAGGACAGTTGCAAATTCAAACTTTTATGAGCAAACTTCAATGAGGTTGTGGCCATAGAGCATTAGTGAAACATTTTGATTGATAGTCTTTCTCTACATGAGGTGGGATGAAAGCATATCAAGCAAATACAGCGGTAGGAGGGGCAACGGAGCTTTAACCGGGCTCACCTTTCCTGACCGCGTTAATAAGATTACCTGGCGCACACGTCATGACAACAGAGACGGACAGAGACAGGGAGCGGGTTACTCCATCCGTGCGGTTATCAAGCAGCCTGGTGTTTAGTTACTGAGACTCCGTGTGTCGGACTGAAGGCAGCAAAGTGCTGATGAGCTCCTCTGCGGAGGCTGTTGCTGCATCGCCAGTTATTTGTACCTCATTTCCTTTTTGTGTGTGGCATACTTCTGGAGTTAAACATGGTAAGACACCTACTTTTCATTTCTACTTGAATAGCTGTCGCTATAATCCACAGTAAGCACTTGACGATGCTGTTGAAATAGGCTTTTTACATTCTGAATAAGGCTTGTTTTGCACCGTTGCCAGTATTCTCAATGCGTCTTCGCCCGTGTAATGATGAACCCATTTGTCAGCTTCCCTATGACTCTCTCCTTGGTTTGCACCGTTCCTCTCTAGAGGCACAAGTGTACAAACAGTAACTGAAAGCATCAGCGCTCTCTGCGGATTATCAAAGGATGATATAGTTTACTATTAATACCGACAGGAAATTGTTTGGATTCGCATAGCAAATGCTGAGAATGACTGAGGCTGGTTTAGGTCCTTTTCTTGTTAAAATAAGGAATTGGGTAAAAGTGCTTTATCTTTTTTTTTGTCACTTCAAATAAAAATCTTGCTTTATACATTGTAAATGCAAAAAAAAAAAGCATGCAGTGTAATCTTTTCTGAAAGTATTAATCAGCAAACACAGTGTTGCGTGCAAAAAAATATGTTTGTATTCATGCAGCAGGTGCGCCTCTTAAAAGTTTATTAATTAAATCTCATTTGGATGCAGTGCAAATCCAGAATCCAAAAATACTATAAATAAGTCCACCCTCAGAGTGTGCTCATGATACAACAGGTGGTGCAAAACATGAAAAAAGAGACATTATGAATTAGGGAAAATAAATACTATTTTAAAGTAATTTCAGCTCATCGCTTTCTTTAATAAATTGATATTTATATAAAAAATATATACATTTACACAGTTTTAAGGAGTGACCCCTATTCCCTGCATGCCTGGAACACTGGATGAAGTTACAGTTTTCACATTATCTACATCTTTTTTTCCAATTGGCCTTAATGTCTGGGGAATGTATTCCTTTAAAAAAACATCTGATTGCAAATAGCAGAAAAGCACAGAGTGAAATAAAGCTAAAGCTTCATGTGAATTTAAATGTCTAATGAACCAAAGAAAGGTTTTCCAGGCCTTGTGTTCTCAATAAAAAATCTGGATTCTGTCATTTCAGTGTTTACTTTATTTTGAAACCAAGTGTGTTAATGCAAAGCTTTATTTTCGTTTTCTATTGCAATGATAGCTTAACATGTTACATGGATCAAATTGTACAATATGGATGTTGCATTTTATAGGTTAATGCATCCATATAAAGCAGAACTTGGCTGATTAACTTGTCAGGCTCTCTTCTCATTATCGCATTTCAGTCAGCTAACCTACAGGCATGCTGCTCCAGGCTTTGCAACTTTTCCTTCAACAACGTTCAAAAAAGTGATGGTTGCACAGTAGTTTCCACACCTGACTGTCTATCTTCATCAGGCTGTAAAGGACTTGGCTACAAATTTTCTTTTTGATATCTGAGTTAGAGCTATTTTGGGTGGTATTATACCCCATTTTTTGTTTTTAAAACATAACTTTTTTAAACATTGGTAAAATGAATTACTAGAAAATTAATTGTGTCTAATTTAAAACTTTGAATGGACAGTTAATTGTGATAATAAAGACTTAAAGTCACTGGCTGTGTCTTAGTAAAGGCGTATGGATATAAAACAGTCCAGCAGTATCCTTACTTAGACAGAAATATATGTTTTCTCTTAAGATGCCTTTGGTTGTGTAATTTATGTATCTTAAAATTTAGAAAATGATTATTGATTGACTTTCATCTTATAGTGGAGAAATTGACTTGTTACATCGATTCAGATAATCAACAAGAAAGGGAAGGTGCCAAAGGAAGAAACCTTGCAGATGACTGAATGCAGTTGTTCTGCATTAGAAGGTAGATCTAGTTTGGGGATGTCTTTCCCTCTGGAGTCTGACACTGAGGGTGAAATAGAGGCTGTAAAATGAAAGGAGCCTGAGGGCTAGTGGAATGAAGGTGGTGAACCGCCAGAGGAAGTTTGCCTTTTTGCAGGTGCAAGGACGTCATTGAGTCTTATGCCCTAAAAAACCAGAGCCTTGAACCTTTATTGAATTATATAAAGGTGTTGACCTGCCCCGATCAGTCTGTCGATCTTCTGCTCCATTTTCCCCTCCCTAGTGAACTGGATGTCAAGATACTCTATTGAACTCTACCATTTGAACCCATGTATTTGGACTTTGAGGAACTGATCATAATTGCAGCTGCTTTTTAATTGGCTGCACATGTTTTAAGTCTTAAAAGGTCGGACCCAGAAGAACTATGTCATCCGCAGAGATGCTGCCTAGCAAACCAGACCTCCTGTTGTTCTTGGCTGTCCTTCTAAACCTTGTATATAAAGTTTATGAGCAGGACAAGTGACAGAATGCAGTGCGGGAGGCGCGAGTTTATGCAAACACAGAAAATAGTAGCTATTGCGTTGCACTTCTGAATTAGCTCTTGGGGCGCACGGGCATGCAGCGACCGGCAGTGGTAGTGTTGAGTGTCTTTGTTTGTTTTGTGTTTCTTGTGTTTTTAAGTGTGAATGTGTGTGTTAAAGGTGTACTACTACTACACAAAAATTGCCCATATTGGGACAAATAAAAGCTACTGACAGCATATATATATATATATATATATATATATATATATATATATATATATATATATATATATATATATATTTTGCACATGTTTAGAAACGCTTCATGATGCCTCATGAACCCATGACTAACGAACAGTATTGTCTCAAAGAACCTCCAAAATGATCCTATAGTTATCAGGCATTTGATGACTTTTCGTAAACTTTTCAAAGTTTCAAGCTTACATGTTTAAGAACATTGCAAGGTGCTTGTTATCATCAATGAAATTGTCTGTAGGGAGGGATATTAGATATTCCACCAATAACAGCGCCCCTCCGCACTGCGTCATGCCGTCATATGACCAATAGGATGCAACTATTGCGATTTACTATATGTGAGATTAAGTGAGACTAAAAGGGGAATTTCAGTTGGCAGCCTTGTGAAGACCGGATCGACAGATTTTGAAAATTTGACTGAACTTCCCAGGGGAAAAACAGCCCGTACAATGTGTCCTTTTGTTAGTTAAGGCCTCAAACTTTAATTGATTTTTGAAATAATCGTCAACTAATTAAGTAATCAATTAATCGTTAACTGGTCTATAGAGATGGCAAAACATACCTTTTGGTGACAGAGCAACCCATAGATTTGTGAAAAAAATGTTTATATTTAGCATTTAGGACAAAACTTTTTTCATTTCATTTTGCTTTATCAAGTACTAGGGTAGAACAAATTTTTAATCACTTCGTTCTGTAAAAATTCTTCTTTGATGTAAATGGTAAATGGCATGTACTTGTAAAGTGCCTTTATTCAAGTTAGGAGACTTGACCAAGGCGCTTTACACTACATTCATTCACCCATTCACACACACACTGATAGTGGCAAGCTACATTGTAGCCACAGCTGCCCTGGGGCTCACTGACAGAAGCGGGGCTGCCGTACACTGGGGACACCGGGCCCTCTGACCACCATCAGTAGACAATGCAGGTGAAGTGTCTTGCCCAAGGACACAACGACACTGATAGTCGGAGTCGGGGCTTGAACCGTCAACCCTTTGATTTCAGGGCAAACTCCTACATCCAACACCACTGTCGCCCCAACCTTTTGCTATCGGATTATTAATTTATTAATCAAAACATATTCAACAGATTATTCAGTTATCAAAATGATCTTTAGTTGTAGCCCTAAATACGATATCAATATTCTTTCCTCAGTACAGAAAAAAGTTTGTAGTTTTTTAATTCAATTGAGCCAATTGCAGAATATCTATAGTATGATAAATATGCTTCTGCTTTTTAGCTTAGAAAAAATTATAAAGCCATGTAAATCATAACTGAACTGCTGTCATGAAATATATATATATATAAATTTATTTCATTTTTTTTACAGTTTTTCCTCAAACACTAACTGTGAGCTATCGCTGCAGTCAAAGGTTCTAACTTGTGTCTATGTTGTTAACACTTTAACATGCGTAGGAGGCAGAAGGAGCAGGATGACAAGTCACATTCTGACTTGCAGTCTCAGCAAAATCCAACATGAAAGGCAACTGAAGACAATCAGGATTTTTTTAAATTTGCACTTTTTTGCATGACATTGTTTTTTTAATAAGAGCATTTCTGACTATCTGAATTTTAGTTTTTGTCTTTCCTGCAAAACAAACAAGCCAAAATCATATTCTTACTTTTATATACATAAAGACAGATAAACCTTATATGCAATCTCTATTGTTAAGATGAACTACAGGCAATTCAAAATGTCTTCTGTTTAAGTATTGATAGAGTTCATTAAAATGAATTATAAAATAGGCCTACTCACATGACTTAAGTGAATCTAAGGGGATTAGATGTTTTGAATTATCTTACAAAGGGAGAGCACTGTACTCAACAATGAAGGATGAAGAAAGGGGGGATGATTGTGGCAGCATTAATGTCAAAATTAGACTTATCCAACTGCCCTTGCAGGCTAATGCTATTATACAGTAACAGTTGTACATAATTTTCGAATATGAGCCATTTAGACAACTGTTGCTAAATATTACACTATTGCAAGCTGAAGCACCTGTTGGAGCAATCAGTTTAAGCAGAGTGTGATTTAAAGGTTTTTACTTTGGAACATATGCTTCACAGTGTGATTAGGTCTCCATGTCTCTGTGTCTTTTGAGTAAAAAACATGAACTTACATGAGATATTCGTAAGTTTCTAATGATCTGATCTTTGCTAATCCTCCATGATCTTACTCAAAATATAATTTTGTGCTACAGCAGCTAACACTGGACTAATCTGATTTAATAGAAAAGGCTGTAGAATACACATTGGTGTTATAGTACATCAGACCTCACCTTGTTAAATCTATATTAATAAAAACAGTCCCAACTACAAAAATGACCAACCCCAGCAGATGATAGCAGAAGAGATCACACTCTCCACAACAGACTTATAGAATTCCGATTCTTTTCAAAGAAAGGATCAAAAACATTTATATATTTTAAACAAACTG